CCCCCCCCCCCCACACACACACAGGCCTCATCCAGCAGATCGAACGCGACGGCACTCTCGGCATGCAGACCCGTCACACGCTGATCACCCCCTCGACTAGCTTTGCGCAGCAGGCCTTGATGCCGACGCCGGCGGCCGATCCGACTGCCTCCACTCCGGCCACGGTGCCTCTTATCATCTGGCAGGACCAGGTCCTGGCTCGCCTGGACCCCGAGACCCTGGACACCATGTGGTCCATCCGCTGTGAGGGGGCCTCTGAAGGGTCAGTGGCCTCGATCATCGTCTGCTCGCCGGCGCCGGACCACACCCCGCAGGTGTTCGCTGCTCTGCGCAACCGCATCCTGGCCGTGTCGCTTGCCGACGGCACGCACCTCTGGACGGCGGCCCTGCCGTCGCTCAATGGCGAGCTGGCTGGCGATGCGACTGCCGACTTTGAAATCAACCCGGTGGCCAACTTCGTGTCGCTCACCTTCCACAAGAATGTCCTGCTGGCGGCCACCACTTCCGGCCTGCTGTTGGCCTATGAGCCGCGTACTGGGCGCATGCTTCAGATGTTCATGGTTCCGCGCCACGAGGAGGAGGAGGAGGACCAGAGCACCGGCGATGGGACCGACAGCCCCGTCGACGAGGACCAGTCCTCCGCGGATGCTGGCTGGTTCTCCATCACCCTGGCCACGGCCACTGCCGAGGGCCCGGTGGCCCCGGCCTCCCTGGCCAAGGCCCTGCTCTATTGAGAGGGTGGGCCCCCGGGCGCTCCCTCCGGCCGTGTGCCGCTATGTGCATGTTCACCCTCCCCTCTTCTCCTCCCCCCTCCCCTCCCTCCATGCGGGCAAATGTGCTCTCGTGCATGGGCGCTGAGGGTGTGACACACATGCCCGCCGCCCTCCACGAGCACCCTTGCCCATGCACTTGCCCATGCACTTGCCCATGTCCGCACACATCCCCCCTCCCCCCCCCCCCAGCAGGCAGATCATCCGGGGGGTCCGCCGAGAGCGCGGGGTGCCGCACCATAGAGTCCCCCTGGGCCAGGCGCAGGATGGACCATCGAACGGGACAAGGCCATTGAGCTGGTTGCATGTGCTTTCCTCCTCATGACTCCCCCATCCTTTTGGTCCTCCTCCCCTCCTTCCCACATGGCTCGCGGTGCGCGCGGGTGCTGTCCTTTTCGGCTCCCCCGCGCTGGTTTTACCTCTTTCTCCCCCCCCCCCCCCTCCTCCCCCTCCTTTCCTGCTCCTTTCTGTTGAAGGCCGCTGTATTTCTACCTCCGCCCCACTTGCTATCCTCTTCTTCGCTCATCCCCTCCCCCCCCCTCTCTCCCCTCTGTCCTTGTGCTTCCTCAAAGCCCTTCCCGCCTCACGGCGGCTCTCCCTCTCTCCCCGTATCATCTGCCTGCTTCATCTACAAAACCAACACACGCACCTCGCACGCCGCCCGTTCGGTCAGGCATCGCTTGTTACTTCACCCTGCCCCCCCCCCCCCCTCCCTCCCCCCAAAATACAAACTCCGATTCACCTTGTGCCACAATGCCCCACACTCGGATCGCATGTGCAGCTGAGAGGAAAGAGGGGGGCCACCGCACCTTTGTACAACACTGGCCGCCCCGCCCCGGACGCAAACACCTGGGAAAGGAGGGAGGGAGCAAGAAAAACACACACAATATCAAGTGGCTTTGAGATTCTATAAGTGAACAGGGAAAGGGGCCTGACAACCGCCAGCATGGCGCGCCAAGCCCAAGCGATAGTGATACAAAGGGAGACAAGAGCCATCCGGGGGTCGACCTGAGCCGACCCCGGCCCATGCCACAGCAGGGAGGAGGGTCGCCTACCGGAGCTTGAACTGCTTGCGCTTGAGATGCGCGCGCTCCTCGCTGGACATGGAGTTGGCCTCCTTCGAGAGCTGTGGACGGGGCGCGGAGGGGGGACCATCAGTATCACAGTGGAAGCAGAGGAGACACAGGCGATGGAGAGAGAGAGGGAGAGAAGGAAAGAGGGAAAGAGAGAGAGAGAAAGAGAGAGAGAAAGGGGAGAGGAGATAGGGGCAAAGAAGCGAAGGAAAGACCCGCTCTAGCGCGGGTGTAGGCTAAAAGGGGGCGAGGAGCCGGGAAGAAGACGACAGAGGGCACGCACCGACGAGTAGATGGACTTGATCTTCTCCTTGTACTCGCGATCGCTCTTGATAACCTCGTCGCGCTTGACCCGCGAGAGGAAGGCCGCATCGCGGCGGAGCTCGCGAGTGGCACCACGCCGGACCGTGCGCAGCTCGTATGCCAGCTTCTTGGCCTCCTGGCGCTCGGGGTTCGGGTCGCGGCGCTGACCAACACGGTAACTGGGCCACCGGAGAGGGGGGAGACAGAAGGAGGGAGGAAGAAATCGACACGTCCAAGGGCAAACAACGACATGGGATCGGGTAAGTTCCAGGCCCCGCGCAGGAAGGGGCCGGCGAAGCGCCCTGGAGCACAAAGGAAAAAAAAAGCCCAACGGATTGCAACACGCACGACTTCTCGATACGCGGCGCGCGAGTCTTGATGGCCACCGCACGGTGGCGCTGCCACATGAGCGGCAGGCGCGACGCCACCACCGAGTCCGACAGGAACTGGATTTGCTTGAGAATGTGGCCGGCACGCTGGGCCAGCGACTCGGGCAGCCAGCCGGCATTCCCGGCATCCGGGGCGAACTTCTTCAGGGTCTCGATCATCGGGTGCACGATCACCGGCAGACTCATGGTTGTCGACAGGAGGGTGGCCTGCTCGTAGAGGATCTCCAATGCAATGCGCAGAAGGGCTCCACTGATGGGAGGAACATGGGTCAGGGCCAAGTGTCCGAACCGGCGGGAAAGCGGCCAAAGGGCCGAAGAGGGAGAGAGGCAGAAGGGAGACAGAGGAGCATCTTCCCTGCTGTGCCTCGCGCGCGCGCGCGCGAAAGGAGGGGCGAGCGTACCGGTGCGCGGCGACCTTGTCGGCCGGGACGCTGTGCGACAGAAGGCGCGGCCAGGACTGCGAATACTCGGCATCCACCTCGAGCGCGACACTGGTGGTGTCAGCCCAGGCGGAGCACTCCTCATGCAGGCTATTCAGCAGGCGCGTAACAAAGGTGGCCGCCTCAGGCACGAAGCGTCGAGTGGTCTTCTGGAACTGCATGCCCAAGCGTATGTACGATGTGTGTGTGTGAGGGGAAGCGATAGTGATACAAAGGGAGACAAGAGCCATCCGGGGGTCGACCTGAGCCGACCCCGGCCCATGCCACAGCAGGGAGGAGGGTCGCCTACCGGAGCTTGAACTGCTTGCGCTTGAGATGCGCGCGCTCCTCGCTGGACATGGAGTTGGCCTCCTTCGAGAGCTGTGGACGGGGCGCGGAGGGGGGACCATCAGTATCACAGTGGAAGCAGAGGAGACACAGGCGATGGAGAGAGAGAGGGAGAGGGAGGGAGGGAGGCGGAGAGGAGGAGAGAAGACATGGCGGTGGCCGGGGAGAAAGCACACAGCCGGCGAACGGGAAGGCGGGCAAGAACAGACAACATTGGCGCAGCAGCACGCGCACGCACCTCGACAAACTGCGCGCACATGAAGATGCCCACACTCCGCTCGTAGAGGGACCGGCTGGCGCCGAAGACCAGAGACTGGCCCATGAGCAGCTGCAGGGGCGTGGCCACCGGGTGACGGAAATCCGAGGTTGGGAAAATGTACCCCATCATCTGGTAGAAGAGCGCGTGGAACTGGTTCGGCATGACTGCGAGCATGGGCGCCGGAGAGAGGGAGAGAGGCAGACCCCAGCATGGCCACAGTCGATCGAGAGGGGAGAAGAGGAAAGCCAGGGAAATGACCATAACCGGACAGGTGTAAGAGGAGGAGAATGCCGAAAGGGCGAGGGCACGTAAAAAAAAAGAGAAGGTAAAAGGAAAGAGCCACAGAAAGGGAGGGAAAAGGGAAGGAAACGCACGGCTGGCGTCGGCAACCACCTCCTGGCGCACACGCTTCAGGCGCTCGATGCAGATCTCCACAGCCGGGTTGCCGAGGACCTGCACCAGACGCCGCAGATACGGCGCCATGACGATGGCACGCTCGAAGTCCGGCTCATCGCTGCCCAGACCCAACGGCTCGAGGTAGTCCAGCAGCACACCGACCAGAGTCTCGAGATGCCCGCGGTTGGCGGCCGCCAGGCGGATATGGTACAGGGTCATCAGACGCTCGATGACCAAGCGAAGGTCATCCGGCGACCGGCCAGTGACATACTGGAGGAAGGTGGCAAGGTCCTCGGGCGCGGCGAAGGTGAACGGCAGCTCGGCCGCCGCGGCCTCATCCACAACATCCGAGAACTCCACACGACCGGCCTTGTTGGTCAGGCTCCGCGCCAGGAGGGTGGACTCGCCAAGGGCATCCTTGCTGCCCAGCCCGGCAGAGCGCTTGCCACTGTCCTCATCATCCGAGTCTTGGTAGAAGGCCTGGCGAGCGGAGGCGACCTCCTCCTCCTCCTCGTCCGAGGAGATGGCCTCGGAATCGTCGTCCGAGTCGCCATCCTCCTCCTCCTCATCGTCGTCACCGTCGTCGTCGTCATCATCATCGTCGTCGTCGCCGTCGTCGTCGTCGTCATCATCGTCAGAGTGGCCATCCTCATCTTCGTCCTCGGGGTGAAGCTTGCGCCTGTACGTGTGGACGGGGGGAGGAAAGAGAGAGAGAGGGAGGGAGGGAGAGAGAGAGAGAGCACGGTTTGTTAGGGATATCATTCAAGAAGAAGCCGCCATCAGGGCCCGCGGAGAGGCGAGGACGCCCGCGTCGTACCGCTTTGCAATCTCCTCATCGACTGCCTGGCGATCGGCCGACGACAACTGCAGGCGGCCATCCTTGTCGTAGCTGATGGTCGTGCTGAGGCCGGTGCGCGCCCGGCGCCCGGCGCCCGGGCCGTCCAGGGTGTCGGCACCGTCCTCGGCCTGGGTCTCCTCGGCGCCGGAGGCCGCCGTCAGACCCATCATGCGCTTGAAGCGCTCGGCCTCCAGGCGCTTGAGCTTGTCACGCTCCTCGTGCAGGCGCTCCTCGGCGGACTTCAGCCGGTCGGACGGCCGGGCACGCTCATCGCGCGACATCTCCTCCAGCAACTGGTCATACTCGGCCTGGTCATCGATGTCCGACAGATCCGACTCGTTGCCGCGGTCCAGGGCCTCCTGACGCTTGGCCAGCTTGCGCTGCTCGTCCAGCTTCTGCCACTTCATCTTGTTGGCATCGGCCTCGGTGGCCGCGGCGGCCTCGGTGGCCGCCTCGGCAGCCGCCTCGGCACCCTTGCGCCGGATCGGCTCGCGGATCTGCAGCAGCGAACGCATCTCGCTGAAATCCCGGTCCAGCTTCTCCATCTCGACCAGATCCTGCTGACGAGCCTCCTGGCGCTCCTGCTTGTGGGCCTTGCTCTTCTCGATGATCTCCTGCATGATCTCACGCCGGGTCCGAGGCCGGGCCTCGACCGAGGCCTGGCCGGCCGGCTCCTGGTCCGCATAGTCGCCACCACCGCCGAAATGGCTGCGCGTGACCGTCTCGCGATCCAGACGTCCGAGGGCCAAGTCATCGTCGCCGATGTCATCCTCGCTCGGGACAAAGTCGTCGAAGTTGTCCAGGTCCGCCAGGCTGCGGCCACCGTGGGTGATGGTCAGGGCGTCGGCACCATCGTCATCATCATCATCATCGTTGAGGTTGAAGTTGGAGGACTTGCGACTGGAGAGACGCTACACAGTGGACGAGGTCACGAGGATGGGATGGGGG